TCAATTTCAGCCGCCAACACCTGCACAGATAAACATGAAAGCAGGAAACTTTCTAATCAGGTGAGTTGTTAGGTAGTCCAGCTAAGTAGTGATTTTTACATTTTATTTATTAATATATTTTAGGAGATATATCTTTTGTGCATTTCAAATCACACGTTCAGTTTCAGCATAAATATTTGCATATCTTTCTTTCCAGACACCAGTCACGGTTGCTGCTTCCAACACTACAGTCTTGCTGTTGCAGAGCGACACACAGTGACACAAAGCCCAAGGACCCCTTCACGTTAGCCCAGAAAGACTTGACGAGTTTATATGACGACATCAAAAAAGTAAGTCTTCAAAGAGATCAGTCCAATTTAGCTTTCAAATAGAATAGTTGTGCTGAAGCGATTGCTGTTTTGTGTTGCATCCCTTTCTCTGGTCACTTCTCGAAAAGTAACAGCTTCAGCTCACATTTATTAGTTTTTCAACCCAATTTTAAGGTTGAACAAATCAGTAGTTAAATCCAGATGTTTGCAAAGCACACACTTTATCTTTAATGCAGTCAGGATTCATTCACTAATACTGGCAGGTTTTTACCTTCTTACTACTTATTAACCACCAAGCCTGTTAGCTTTCCCATTCAACTGTACTCTGAATTTCTCCTTGAACCAGTCTGCCTCCCCTCTCACCCGCCAACAGAGCAAAGCCACACCCTTCTTTCACAATAGGGGTTTTAAGCTGCTAAAGAACGTAGAGAAAAACTAAAAGGAAGTCTGTCTGAGATATTTTTGCAATAGCTGTGACAAATTAATGAAGGCTTTTTGGGTCAGAGTGGGCGGTTTCCTGCCCTGTGGTGATTGGCAGATTTCTTTCTGCACAGCGGTTGTTTATGGCGGAAATAAAACGCTTGCTTTTTACTGTCCTTTACAGGAGCTGTTTGTGTCCAAAGTAGAGCTGAAATCTCTGTGTGAATACTATTTCGATGGCAAGGGGAAGGCCATCCGACCAATGATAGTGGTACTGATGGCTCGCGCCCTTAACATCCACAGCAACAGAGCCGGGTAAACGACTCTAAACTCAGTTGTATTTTGCTCTGCGACACACGGGTCAGAGTCCTGATTGCACCGTTATGACAAACTCTTTTGTTTCAGATAATTGCATTTGACTTCCTCCTGTTTGCTGTCTGCGTTTGTCCATTTTAGAGATTTGCTCCCAGGGCAGAGGGCCATCGCTATGATCTCTGAAATGATTCACACTGCCAGCCTGGTGCATGATGATGTCATAGATGGATCGGATAAGCGAAGAGGGAAGAGAACAATTAATGAAGTGTGGGGTGAAAAAAAGGTAAAGGAGATAAAATCGTTTGGTCTGATATGTTTTTCCGAACCACCCGCTCGTATATCATTCGGCCTCCTCTCTTCCAGGCTATCTTAGCCGGAGATTTTATCCTCTCGGCTGCCTCAATGGCCTTGGCTCGTATCGGTAACATCACAGTGGTGAAAGTTTTATCTCAGGTCATAGAGGACCTGGTGCGAGGTAAGTCACGATGAGCCGAGAACCAGCATGCAGAAGAACTGGCCGGAAGAATGCATTTACATATAGCCTTGTGATTGCAGGTGAATTCATGCAGTTGGGTTCCAAAGAGAATGAGAACGAGCGATTCAAACACTACCTCGAGAAGACCTTCAAGAAGACAGCAAGTCTTATTGCAAACAGTTGTAAAGCAGTATGTACGTTCTGTCTTCACATAAATAGCAGAGAGATGGAGAAAAGCCTCGTTTTCTGCACTTTTTAATGTTTTTTTCGTTGACTGTCTGCACTCTTTCATTTAAGGTTTCCATTCTGGTAAACTCTGATCCTGAAGTGCATGAAATAGCGTACCAGTATGGGAAGAATGTTGGCATTGCATTTCAGGTACAGGCTGTTAAGCAAAGTGTCGCCCTCAGTGATGAGCAAATATCAGTAATGATTTTTTGCACAGTAGTTATGTAATAAGGCGGTTTGTTTTGTCCTGTAGCTGGTGGATGATGTTTTGGACTTCACATCTGGAGCCAGTCAGCTGGGGAAGCCCACAGCAGCCGATTTGAAATTGGGTTTGGCTACTGGTCCGGTCCTGTTTGCTTGTCAGCAGGTGAGACACCGCCACCATCGCTCTTACTCAGGACATGCAGACAAACTGTGCACCACTAGGTGAATGAGATGGACTGCAAACTGTCTTTAGTTTTTATCTGTTTGTCATTTCAGTTTCCTGAGCTTCATGCAATGATCATGAGACGTTTCGCCTCCAAAGGAGACGTAGATCGAGCCTGGCAGTACGTCCTTCAGGTATGAGCCGTAATACACCATAAGTGAAAGCCTTAAAGGTCCAACCAAAAGAAGGGCTCTCTTAATAACATTTATATTAAAAAATAAAATGATGTGAAATTAGCTTCTTAAAAGTCATGACACATGCATGTTGAAATAGATTTGTTTATAATAAAACACTGTACATAAATTTTACAATAAACGTTTTATTGTGTACAAATAAAGAGCAGAGAGAGATCTAAAAGCGATGCAAAGAACTTTACCTAGTCTGAAGTGACGCTGTAGGTCAAAGTCTAACAATCTGCACTCTGAAACTAACGATGGTAGGATGGTTTTATAGATTTTAGGATTTTTAAATGCATTTCCAAAGTCTCATTTACAGAAGTAGTCGAACTCACTCGGTACTTTTAGCAGCACTGTCACTGTGGTGTAAACTGTGCGAGCACAAATCACACCTGGATTTGTGCAGATCCTCCAAAGCTTGGTCAGATTAGATGTGAAAGTGCTTAAACTGTCATCTTCAGGGTCTCTCCTCAGATGTTCTTTGGGCTTTAGATCTGGGATTTGGCCGAATCACTCAAAGACAGAGACTTGTCCCAGTGCGTCCCTTAGAGAGGGATCGGTCCTGATTATTAAAAACGCTGTGGAGTGCCTTGGTCAAGGACATTTTCTGAAGCAAGAATTTAATCCGGTCTTACTTGTGCTTTAAGGTGAACTCGCTTCCTTTATTCTTTTATGAATTTCTCCCTTATTGCATGATGCTGCCACACCGTATTTAACCATAGGGTTGGTATAACCAGGTTATGAGCAGTGCCTGCTGTAATATTTAATCATTCACAAAAGGCTGCAAAACTGTAACCAGAAGTAGGTGTTTAGTAAACGAAGCTGAGCTCTGCGTGACAAAAAAAGCAGTTGTCAATGATTTTAGTGTTTTATTGTTGATAGCAGAGCCAGAGCAGACTTATCTGCTCTGGCTCTGATAAGTATTAGCTATCGTCCAGTAGCTAATACTGGACGATATTATCGTCCAGTATTAGCTACTTGCTGATAGTATCAGCATTTATAGCAGTTGATAAATGACTTTTTTTTTTTAAAGGATAGGAGAACCACCCTTCGACCATGTTATGAGTGGCAGATGCCGGTTGCCAGCTCACTGGTTGAGCAGGTGCCCATATGCCCTCTGGCTGAAATGCAGCGGCCCGGGTTCACATCCAACCTGCAGCCTTTTGCTGCCTGACTTCTTCTTCGTGTCCCCTCTTCACTGCTAACCGATCACTAAAGAAAAAAGGCCCGCCTAAAAAGCAAAGAAATACATAAAAATAAAAAAATCTGTGCATTGAAGTTATGTAGTTTCTCCACCAGAGGGAGCTGTGCAGCTTCTCTGTTGACAACATGTTTGGAACGAGCTGATCCAAGCAGACACATTTAGATAAATAAATGATAAATGTTAGGGAGACTCTGCTAAAAATATTTAGAAAAATAATTTTTTTTAATTACCACATATCTGTATTGGTCAGTCTTAAAAATCCGATATAGGTTAATAGATTAAAAACTTTAATAATGTGAGTGCTCCTCCTTCTGTTTTAGAGCAATGGTGTGCAGCAGACCAACTACCTGGCCCAGCACTACTGCAAAGAAGCAATCAGGCAGATCAGTAGGCTCAGGCCATCCCCAGAGAGAGACGCCCTCATCAGGCTCACAGAGATGGTGCTAACCAGAGACAAATGATCCTCCTCTGCTGGGCTTCTCTTCAGGCAGCTACTCCAGGGGAGAGGACAGCAATTTACCTGCCACCCTTAGGTCCTTAGACCAGCAGGGTTGGGCAAAAATAGCGAGGGAGGCAACAGGAGTTTGGTTTGGATGGACCTCTGGTGCTGATCTGAGTGCCAACTCTGGCTTAACAGAACAAAACGGCAAGCAGGGGTCTCTGATCTGAATCGTGGCGCTTTCCTCTTGACTTGAGGTTTGGTATTAAGGATGCACAGATTTATTTTTTGTATTTTTTGGGCTCATTCTGATGTTTAAAATTTTAGTTTGACTGAAACCTGATGCCAATGCCAATATTTATTTTGTTGTTGATAACAAGAATCATCATAAAAAGAAGAATTTTAAAGTTTTTCAGCTCCTCGTCAAACGGTCTTTGAACATTTAACAGGCCAAAGTTGGTGCAACACAAATGTTACCAGATTTGTTGAAAGCCCCAAACCAGGCCATTAAATTTGTGCATCCTTACGAAGCGCAAGTAAACTTGGTATTTAGGCAAATTGTGATGTTTGAGTTTCTTACAGGAAACGTATGATATGTAAATGAATAAGTACAACTGAAAACTGCAGCTGAACCCTTCACTGCTTACAGTACTGTAACTGCAAAAGCCTCCCGTGGCTCAGACTAGCCGACTGTGAGTGAACAGTTTGTTACCTGCTGGTCCTGAGCTGCGACCGAGGCGTTGCAACATCTGTGTAATTCCAAAGGAGAGGGAAGTGCATCGTTGTGTACTCGCTTGGATCCGTCCTCACCTCAAAGGCCAATCAGTCACGTGTCTTTCTTTTCCACTCTGAAGTGTTATATGGTTACTTCTGTGATGCAAAGTGTCCTGTAACGACCACGGCCTTAACATCTGCAATGACTGTGCGCTCAATAAACCAACTGCTTCATTTTTTTTATTTCATTCAATCTGAAGCTTTGGTTCCTTGTCAAAAGTAATGACACGCACATGTTGTACATAGATTTGTTTATTATAAAACACTGTACATAAATTTCTCAATCAACATTTTATTATGTACAAATGAAGGGCAGAGAGAGAGAAAAAAACCCTGTGCTGTGGTTGTCCTCATGTTTACTTTGCTAAAATTGTAGTGCACAGGTTCAGAAGCAGGGCACAAAAGACAAGGTTTGAGGACCTAAACAGTCCCTTCACGTTAAGGTTGGGGGTCACGGGTTCATGTTTTTCATTTAATTTGTCACCCATATGCACAGGAATGATATTCCTGCCAGTCACCGAAAGATCTTCCACATTTTCTGCATATAAAATTAACAGTGAATCCTAAAATGCTCCATAATAAGCTGAAAATGGATGGAATGTCTTTGCTTTAGATGGACCCAAATTCATGAAATTTAAAAGAAGGCGATAAAAGGGACGAGCCTGTCATTTACTTCAGTTTTTTAAAGAAGTGATTTCAACAGTGTAATGAGAAAGCAAAGGTGTATACATTTACAACATAATGGAAGGATAATGGCAATAAACTTAAAATTACATTAGCTCTTGAAAAATTTTTCCATGCTTTGACGCCGAGACTGATTTTCCCGCAGTAAGTTTTCTTTCCTTTGAAATACGATTTACAGTATTTATTTGCGAATCACCAACAGTCCATCTGTCATTTACAGAGTTGAGGAGGAGGAGGGCGGCACCACTAATGAAAAGCATCATATGATCGACATTCACTGAATTTACATTACAGAACCCCCCCTTCCCTCCCGGAGTGGCTGCAGCTCGGATTATGTACAACCAACGGTACAAACACTTCCACTGAAGGTGCTTACGTTACATTTTTATTTGTTCCATCGAAACCTAAAAACTTGTTCAGAAAGTGTTTTGTTCAGGCAAGATCTCACCATACATCCTTCAACTGTGTGAGCATGTGCAGTCCAATTCATTAAAAAAAAAAAAGTTTATTTTACATGTTCCTTAAATGTTCCCCACCTGTCCATAACACCAAAATTAACTAAATAGATATACCTTTGTCATTTTATTTGCAATCAGTAAGGGAAAAACATTCCGTCATATCAAAAGAAAAAGGGCGGCGGGGGGGGGGGGGGATCACGTGGTTATGCATCTCGGGAGTCAGATTTCTGCCGTCAGTCTCTCAGTGGATTGTGATATGACTGAATAAATATGCTGTACTTTAACTGAAAGGTCCCTTCAGTCGGCGTAGTGCATGATGGACTCCACGTAGTTGCCGGGGAAGAGGCCGGTGGTGCCGTTGCACACGCCTTCGAACCAGCCGTCGTCGTTCTTTTTGATGACGTAAATGATGGCGCCCTCCATGAAAGTCAGCTCGTCGTCCTTGTCCTTGGCGTAGTCGTAGATGGCCACCACTGCGAACAGGAAGGGAAAATGTTTGCTCTTGGACTCTGTACCCAACGGCAGGACTTCGCCTGCAAATACTTAGAAACGTTAAGCAAACCTTTCTCGATGTAGCTCTTGGGAGCCCACTGGGGGTCTCCGTCGGCGTAGGGGTCGTTGTAGTGCACGACTGCGGCGTCTTCCTCCTCGTAATCCACCGGAGGAGGCGGCGGAGGCGGTGGCGAGTCGTCAAACATGGGCATGTCATCTGGAGGAGGAGGTGGAGGAGGAGTAGGAGTATCTGCAACTATTGAATGGACATCAAAAGTGAGACTCGTTTTGGTTGGAGTCACAAGATGTCCTTGGTGATAGAGGTGGCGGCAGTGGGAGAATCATGCATAAGAAATAAATCAAGGCATGCAAAGTTTGTCTGACAATCAAGCAGGCTGCAAGGCTTCTCACAACTGACATGCCGTATGTGTGCGAACCTCTCAAGTGGCTCATGTAGTTTGTGCTCCTGTTGTAGCTTTGAACATCGCTTCACATGCATATGCAGAAAAAAAGGACACCTATATATATTATTTATGAGCACTTAAATAATGAAAAATACACTCCAAGTCATGCCATTTAGTAGGTTAGAGCTGACGGCATCCACTCCAGGACAAGAAAAGGTATGAAAACGTATACAGACTGCATCTGACACTATAACAAACTGAAAATATGACGCCGTACTGTCTAGAATATACAGTTAAAGTGTTGGATGCTGACATTAAACACGGCCAACAGGGTCACTGTTTGCTAAATTCTCTGCTTGGTGTCAAAAAGATGGAATTTCCTTACATGGGTATATCAGGCACACCTCATCCATCTGACTCTGAGGTTTACAATATTTACAATTTCATTTTTGAGACCAACAGCACCCAAAAGCCAAGGTGGATGTGTGTGTGTGTGTGTTACTTCAAATTGAGCTCACTGGCACGTCTGTCTAATATTGGTGAGACCAAATCAGACCAAACAGTTACTACAGTTTCTGTGCAGACGTTTTGCAAACACAACATAGCTACCAGGGTTTGTTTAAGAATCTTGTTAACACTTACAAAATGTTGTTCTGCAGTTGAGAGTAACAGCAGCTTAGAGGGCCCGGTGGCGCCAGTGTCCGGCAGCCTCGCCTCTGTCAGTGCGCCCCAGTTACAATGTAACTTGCCATCACCAGTGTGTGAATGTGTGTGTGAATGGGTGGATGACTGGATGTGTAAAGCGCTTTGGGGTCCTTAGGGACTAGTAAAGGTCTTTGCTTTGCTAACAAAGTGTGAATTAAGGAGTTTCAATACAGGCCACTATAAAATAAATAGTTTGTGGTATCAGCAAACTATCCAGAGCTATTCTAGTGAAGTTTACCATTAATATATTAGTTCCCTTTCAATAAATGAGCATATGGCAGGTTTTGGATCAGAGGGGACAGCAGAGAGTGGTGACCTTTGGCACGTTTTACCCTAAACATCATCAATGACTTTAGCGTAACTCTATAGTGCTACAAGTACTCTGTATTATACCTCTATAGTAGTGTAGATTTGTAGCTGCAGAAACAAAGAAACTAAACTATAAGTTGCCTAATAGAAGCTTACATAATGAGTGGAATCTAGTAAGAATCAGTTCAGTTTTGGAAGAGGACGTATTAAACAGGATGAACACACAGTGCATGCTCTGTGTTTGGGAGTTGGAACAGTTGGCGCAGATAACGAGGAAAGTGCTGTGTGTGTGTCTTAGCCTCTTCACTTACTGCTCTCCTGCATCCTGGCCACAAAGCCAGTCAGAGGTATCTGTGGAGTCAGCTGGGGCATGGGGGGAGGAGGAGGAGCGATAGACACTGAAAGCCAGCGGAGAAAAGGGCAGGAAGGCCGACAGAGTGAGCATCAGAGAAGGAGAAAAAGACAAAGCCCATCAGTCACCAAGAAAGACAGTTCAGGGTCCAACCCAACCCCCAAGCAAACAACAGTCAACACAGACACACTGCAAGAACTGGGAGCATGTACACATCTAACAAAAGCACAGTTAAGCACTATACTGGAAGACTGATCGTTTAAATAAGTTAATTTTTTTTTCTTCTATTTGACAGAGATCACAGATCAGACGCAAACATGAGCTGAAAAGTTCAGCAGCATCTGCGACTGTGATGAGATTCACATGGTATCAGGGGATCATTAGAGCAAGAGGATAAAAAGCAGATTATGTTTGATTTCTGTCGATCAGACAGTTTCCTCTAAATCGAAAGAAAACAGGGGACTTCTAATAGCCACAAGGGGGCAGTATTTACTTTAGATGTCTCATCCTGAACTCATGTGAAGCAACTCCCTACAGACCTGTTTTAGTAATGTTAACACTACTTTAGATTCTCATGTTAGTTTTCCTCAGATCACATGATTAATTTTAGGTTAAATGCTGTGAATAAGTAATAGTCAAGAACCAGTGTTTCAGAAAATATCACTTTTAGGCTTCAGGCAATGACAAAGCTACCAGGAATCTGCAGATGTGCAAGAAAGACCACATGTGATGTGTAAATTCTCTCTGAATGAAGTGTTTGGAACGGAACGGGCACATCTGCACATCTGGAGGTCATCTGGCTTGCACTGTGATCTGTATAAATGGGATCCATACAGCGTGAAAAGGCCACCTAACTATTCCTGCTATCTCAAGCTGCAAGTCTACCCTTTAAAAAGAGACTTAAAAATCAATGATGCCTGTGCTTTGCCTTTATTTTCTTGATCCCACCTAATAAATCTGTGCAAAGAGATCTCTTAGCAATATAGGCATAATTGAAGTGAGGTTAACAGCTGACCTAACTGCAGTACAATACACAGCCAGTAAACTTTGCCTAAGTTTTTACAAGATGCCAAAGACCGACTCTGCACTGCTAGCTAATATTGATTGCCTGCATTGCATCTGTGTACAAATCCAAGGATGAGGCATTCTGCATCAATACTAAAGACGCCCCACAGTTGGATAAAAAGCCTTAACCTGCACTTTCAGATTAAAAACAAACGTCAATAGTTCTGTGAAGAACTCGGCCTGACCTTCAGAAAGCACTGATTTACTTGCAAATATAAAATATAAAGATTTTGTGTGTGGCTACAAAGGTTAGTTCGCGTCGGGTGCATGATTTGGGAAGAATGTGAGGTTGTGTGTCCTTCAGTGACAGCTCTGGATCTAGAAAGCAGTTGGGAGCTGGAGACAAGAGGGCCTTACTTGAGTTCTGACCATAGCCAGGAGTGCCTCCATTAATATGAGGCTGCTGTTGCTGCTGTTGTTGTTGTTGCTGTTGTTGCTGCTGCTGCTGCTGCTGCTGCAAGGAGAACTGCGAAGTGACCGACGGCGCCCGCCGGTAGGTGCCCGTGGCCGAAACCATAGAGACAGAGGAGTTGGAAGAGTTGTGCCGCGAAATCTGCCGCGAGATGGTTCCAAACTGGGACATTGGAGCGGGTCCCAGACCAGGTCCAGGGGCCACAGCTAGAAACCCCAAGGACGGGGAGGAAAGAGAGGAAAGCCAAGCACGGTAGCAAAGGAGGGAAGAAGGTTGGAAATGAGAGGGAAGGGGGAAACCAACCAAAACATGAATCATCAACACCGTGTGAGATAACATGAGCTTTTAAATTCTGATCAGAGCCCCCTGCCTATTAAAAAATGTTAAAGTTAGTCAACAAAAGTCAGAGGAAGCAGGTGATCTTGGGGAAGCAACAGAGATTGTAATTTGGTTATAAAAGTAACAGACACTTCATGAAGAGTTTCGTCAACAAGTTATCTTAAATGTAGCTTTCTTAGACAAGAAGGAAAGGAAGGATCGATTGAGGAATAAGAACGCAGCAACAGAACAGATGGATCCTGCAGGTTTTTGCTGAAGCAACAATTAAAACAGGGATTTCAAACTCATTTTATATGCCACGCTTTGATGTGAAGTGAGCTGGACCAGTGAAACTGCATGATAAATGTATGAAGCAAACAAAAGGTTCCCACAGTTCATTGGTCAGGGTGTCCTGTAAGTATAGATTTAGAATATGAAGCTTTCATTGATTCACTTTGGTGTAGTATAGATGGCAGTGGGTGTGTGGGGGATCTTTATCAACAGGAAAAACTGTTCAAAATCTTTGCCCTTCATTCACATTTTCTTAAGTTGTCAAGGATGCAGAATTGGAGTCTTTACAAAGCCGATTCAGGCCCGCGGGCCGTATGTTTGACACGGTTTAAAAGACTGCAGGTAGCATTTAGGATTACGTGCATCACTACACTGCCATCAAAGAATAACTGAAGCATCTCTGTGAACAACAGCTTTAAAAACAACAACAACAAAGAACTATTTGAAGATTGAAGCAATGTGTGCGGCTGTGGCCGACAAAAATAGAGAGGGCGAGGAGGGGTTTAAGTTTTTTTCTGCCTTTCTTTCTTCTGCTCGAGCATTTCCTGCTCACATTTCTAGATAATATACATCCTCTCGGGAGAGATAGGAATGGGTGGGACCAGAGGAAGTAAAGATTCAGAGGAAAACAACCACAAATAAACTTCGCTACAGTGTCACCAGCAGAATAATTATAAGTGGAAAATAAAGAGTCTGGTGATGTTCAGATGATAAAATGTGCACAATTCAAGTGATCATCTCGGCCACAAAGATTACCAGAGTCGATGAACGAAGAGCGGCTGCTGCTCAGGCTTAGACACTTACCGGTGGACACCGATGAAACAGCTGGATGCTTTACGCTTTACAGAGCTCGGACTCTAAATCAATCCCAGCATCACGAATCTGTGATTCAGAGGCCGTGTAAATTAAAGCTACATCAGGCCCTGCTGAGTATCTGAAGCACCCAAAAGGCTGGCTGAATGGTTTGGGGAGTCCATTACCCTGAAATCATTATGTGGCATTTGCTGTGGCTCAAACAGTCTCCATACCGAGTCACTGCTTTACTTTCTACCAGTGAAAATCATTAGCATCTCTGAATTCAACTTACCCACTCCCTAAACCTGTTGCAAAGACGCATTGAGCACAGTGTTCAATAAAAGGCAACTAATTACTTAAAAACATAACAGGGTTTCCAATAAATCAGGTTTAGAGGGACAAATTAGCTTTAAATGTATTAGATGTGATGTGTTGTTTGACCCCTCGGTCTAACAATGCTGGTGCAGCAATTGTAATTTTAAAAGTTAGGCCCAATAGGAACGTTTGACTTTTTATACTACATCTGTCTAAACAGACCGCACCCTGCATCAGCAAGTTATCTTTAGCTTTGCCCGCTGATGGGTGAACATTTACAGTAACGACCGAGTTTGGGGATGTGTCAATCTTTTTTTGCAACTTTGCAAAAATAGTTTTTCTGTTTCATCACAGACTGATCACAGCTAATGCACACGCAAATAGAAAGTAGCAGCGATGCGGCACAGAGACGGCTGACAATCAAATGGAGAGATTTAAAGATGCAAACTCATCTCAAATCGTAGCCACGCCGATTACCAATTAAAAAGGGTTAATTATGAAACCAGAGTCTGGAATGTCCACAACCAGCTTACAGCTTTAAATGTGAATGATCTTGAGTTCAGGAAAGTGTTGCCTGATGCAGCTTTAACCACAATCATGTTTATGGAAATTTAAAAAAAAAATAAATCAAATGAGCCACATACTGTACCTGCAGTAGAAGTCTCAAAGTCACGTTTCTGTACATCTGTACAGATTTGAAATAAAAACTTATTTTATTATCCACAACAGCTTGAGATTAAAATGTAAAGGACCAATTTAAGAGAAATTACAGGCACTAATTAACTTTAGCCAGGCCCTAGGTGACATGAGACTTCTGTATTAACCGATTACACTTCAGTGAAGAAGAGCACCACCACCACCAAAACCACCACCGTGAAGGATTAAGTTAAATGTCACACTGTGCTTAACAGAAGCACGAAACTCTGTCCACACTGCAAGCAACGACAGAGCTGAACAACCCAGAAATCTTTGGCTGCTGTGTTTAGTTCAGCGAGTTTCTTGGCTGGGGAAAGCTCGTCGTGGCCAACGCTCGTCGAGAGCGCAATTCGATTTTTCTCTTTCTCCCCCATTTCCTTAATAATGTTTCCTCATTTTGTGAATACCGCTTCAGCCTAAGTGGATGACAGAGAAATCTCTCAGAGATGATGTGGCTGTTTCTGTTGCTTTATTCTTGATTTTTGATAAGATTTGATAAGAGGACCCTTTGCTTGCAGTGTGCACAGACGGACATCGGCACCCACAGCACCCTTATTTTGTGCATCTCCAAGGTGATGATCCGCCATCCAGTCGGCAGAGGTCAAACAAGCGGCTCGGGAGCTTCGAGGAATCTCACCTATGGGAGGTGGCGGTGGTGGCGCTGGAGGGGCCATCCCGGCCATGGGAGGAGCAGGTGGAGGTAGAGGAGGAGGGGGTGGGGAGGCGGAGGGGCTCCCGGGGGAGCAGGCATGGTTGGGACTGAAAGGAGGACTCACGTTAGTGACCATTTAGCGGTGAGGCAGGAGCAGAGCGTGTCCTCGCCGCCTCCTACACCTTGATTACATGACATCATATCAATTTACTTAAGAACCCTCCGGGCCCGGAGGAGCGCTCCGACTTCTCACGCACTTGGACACACTCCTTTGCGGTATGAATCGAGTGTTTCCATGGCGACCAGCTTGCACATCACAGAGAAAGAGAGAGAGAGGGAGTGCTGCGGAAAGTCCTGTGCTGCCGGCCTGATCCCGGCGCCGAGGTAAAACAGCTGCTACGTCAACCTACAATGCTCCAAACTTAAACGCAGCACCATCTCCGCCGTGATCACGGTACAGCGCGACACCACGTGTAGCAGCTCGTCGTGTTACGTGGGCTTTACTGTTTAACTGTAAAGTGTCAGGCCTCGCGCAGCTTGGCCTATTTACACAGTAGGATAGAGAATCAGCTGTGCTTAGAACACAATGGGGCTCCATAATCCCTGTCTGGTAAACATAGGCTTTGTGATGCACACTCTCTCTATCTGCCAATAGCGTCATACATTTACACTTTATCAAACTTCATCATATATTCAGATTTTACGCTTAACATTTATTTAAATTGTATTTTTTTTAGCCATATATTGATTGAGAAATGTATGTGTTTAAAGTTTGATTCACAAAGAACACACCATAGACTGTACCTAAAAGATGGACAATCAGTAGCAACATTGATTTGTCCCAGATGTTTAAGAAGTCCAAGGTTGTCACCTTGCATACTGTTTTTTATTGTCTATTTCACTCTAAATAATGATAATGACTTTAAACAAATGAACACTGTTGCATTAGCTATTAGCTAAAGCTAATGTATAAGGACACATTCTCATTAGGAGATGTTTACTGAGGTCAAATATCAACTGAGCTGTAGGATCATCTTCTCATTGACTTCTGTGAAACTGGACTCATCTTTAAACAAGAGCAGTCGCCCTTTGGTGACCATTTCAGACCTGGAAGCTACATCTAGATTTGAATTAGTTGAAGTCTATGGTGTGCATCTTGCCAAACAGAGCAGTCCTGTAGTGTCATCATCTTGTTTTAACTGGGTGGAAAATACACCAAAACTCAAGTGACAACATTCCTGAGGGTGTACACAGATTTCTTACTCATTAAAGCAAATATTTCTCCCTGCATTTCTAATCCGGGTAAAAACAAAAAAAACAAAACAAAAAAAACACTTAAAAGTAAAAAACAACTGCCAATAAAAGCCTCACTGAAAATCAGCATAATCTGGACACCGACTGGCTGACTGTTACCGTTTACTGTTTAAGTCACCACCACTGTCAAGCTCACCTGGTCCAGAGTTAGGGGATGGAGGGTGTAGGCACGGCGATGGGAATGCCAATTCCGCTGCTGCCGCTGTTCTCCCTGCTGCCGCTGCCCCCGCTGCTTCCACTGAGGGAGGAGAGACAGAAGGAAAAAGAGGACATTGTTTTATTCAGGGCAACCTGCTTAGACTGCACAGCAGGTAACACTGCAGATATAGGGGACTCTGCTGCGTCGCTGCTTATGTCCCATTTAGAAGTAAAAGGCCAAAAACTCCACATTTTTAAGTAATACTCCAGGGTGACTTTGCTCTTCCACACTTATTCAGTCTATTGGCTTGTTAAGACTAAGCTGCAGGGTGACACACCCAAGTGAAAAAGACATGAGTCACCCTATTGAAGCATTTTTGGTCACAGTCTGTCAAAGAAACTGAACAAAAAAATAAATATTCCAGGATTTAAGAGGGTATTTAAGCATTCAGCATGCAAACCACCTTAAAATCTTGCTTTTGACACTCCAATTCCCCCCAAACACAAATTTACAGTGATCATCATATAGTGTGGATGATAATCACCAACATTAAGCCTTGCTTTGAGACTAATGGGGGGGAACAGTCACTTTGTTGTACATGATACGAGGCCTTGCCAAACACGTCTAAATGTTCCACATGATTTATTTTTAGAGAACGAAATAAAAGGAACAAAGACGTGACTGTATAACCGGAACATCAGTCTGCACATCAGTTTAAGCAGGCCACACACATGCGCGCACGCTTACTGCAGCTTGCACACATTTATGAGAAGCAGGTTAGTCAGCAGGATTTAAAGATTATTGAAATTGGAATTTATCATACCAACGCGCACGTATTTGTGAATGTTTTCCTACTACACACCCAGTATTATGTAGAATTTGTAGACTTACTGGTACAGGAATAAGTGTGACGCGTGAATTAACGCCTCACACCACTGCATTTATAGCCTGAACAAATCTGCAGTGTCTATCACTGGATGGCTCTTTGTGCGAGTTATTTGTTAGGCTAACTGGTGACTAAATTGACTGTAGATGTGGACGTGACATTTGTCTCTCTGCGACGAACTGGTGACCTGTGAACTGTGGATCCTGATTCTCACTCAACACTGCAGTTAAGAAAAAGGACATATGGAGTCATGTTAAAGAATGAGGTGAATATTCATTAGCTGTTTTTTTTTTAAATAACGAAAGCTACGGATGAACAACTTTTTCAACTTCCTGAAATTATAAATTATATATGCGTTTCAAATATTTTGTGGTGTTGGACTTAAATTTTAAGACATGTGTTCCCAGGACCCAAATCACAGGCAATTTTCATATTTTTTATGACAAATTATCTACTGTTCTCAAAAAAAATCTTCCACTCATAATAAATTCATGAAACCAGCACAGTGATGTGGATGCTGCACTGATCTGTTGCTGTAAAGCGAGAGCTAAGCAGAAAAGCGAAGCTGTCGATTTACTGGTCCATCTACGTTCCTGCCCTCACCTACGGTCATGCGCTCTGAGCAGTGACTGAAAGAATGAGGTCGCAGATACAAGTATTGGAAATTACTTTCCTTCAAAAGGTGCCTAGGCTCCCCTTGAGATACGGTGAGGAGCTCAGAGGGACTCTGAGTAGAGCTGCTGCTCCTCCACATTAAAAGGAGCCAGTTCAGGCATCTGACTTGATGCCTCCTGGACACCTCCCAGTAGGTGAGGTATTAGGGGCATGTCCTACTGGGAGAAGGCCCCAGGGAAGACCTAGGACTGGCTGGAAGAGGTGGCCGGTGTGAGAGAAGTCGCTGCTGTCGCTGCGACCCAGATAAGCGGTAGAAGATAAATGCATGGATCATCAAACATTTAAAAGGCGATTCTGTGGAAAATCGACATTGTTTTTACAGACTTGCCTTAAAAGTCTGTCCATTCCATCCCACATAGAGACAAAGCCTTTGTGGGTTGTGTCACAAAAGGTATTCGGCATATCAATTAGCTACGTCAAATATGTGGCGCTACCTGCTCCGCTCTCCTGTCACCCCGTGTGAATAAAGGAGCAACTGAAAGGAGCTTTGCTCAGACATAATGTTTTTACTGGATTTCAGCAGCTTTGCCCAGCACTTGGATGTAGGTCATGTGTATGTAATATGTACGTCAGCTCTGCATTTTCAGCCTGTACATGACCCCACAGCTCGTAGATCAATGGCCAGGACAAATAATTCCCTCCTCCCGCTCTTTCACCATCTCTCAGGCTGGCCTTGATCCTCATTTCTGCTACAACCCCTCATCCCACCTCTTCTTTTTTTTCCCCTGCCGCTTTCATCCTTGTTTTTCAACTGATCCTCCCCTCACCCTTAACCATCCCTTGACCTCTTTCTCTGATCTCTTCATCGCCTGTAAAGTGATTCCCCATTCATCTACCAGAACCCCTCTCTCCCTCATCTCCTCTGATT